ATCAAATTTGTCACTGCCCATCTCACTGAAACAACTCTGGGTGGTTTACAGCAGAGATAACATTCATTAAATACAATATAAGAACAATCCTAATAATAAATAGCTTCCAAGAAAGATGGAGAGTTGTTGAATAATTCAAGGGAGTGTTGTCAGGGCGCTAACCACCCCCAGGGACGGTTAGAGCCTAGATCACCCCATGCACCCTGGCATAGCCAGGTCTTTAATCCCTTTTGGAAAGCCAGGAGGGTAGAGGCCCACTGCACCTCTAGGGGGAGAACAGTCCAAAGGGCGAGGGCAATGGCAGAGAAGGCTCTCCTCCTGGGCCCTGCCAACGGACATTCTCTTGCTGACGGGATCTGCAACATGCCTTATCTGCCTGTCTGGGTGGGATGGGTTGATGTAATGAGGATGGGATGATCCCTCAGGTAACCTGGACCCATGCCATGTAGGGCTTTAAAGGTGATAACCAACACCTTGAATTGGATCTGGAAGCAAACTGGCACCCAATGCAGCTGCTGCAGCATAGGTGTTACATGTGTGATCCTAGGGGTATCTAATATCATCTGCGTGGCTGCATTTTGAACCAGCTGTAGCTTCCAGATACTCTTCAAGGGTAGCCCCATGTAGAGCGCATTGCAATAGTCTAACTGAGAGATGACCAGGGGGTGACTGACCGGAGAGCCTCCTGATCCAAGAAGGGGCATAACTGGTGCACCACATGGAGGTGGGCAAAGGCCCTCCTGGCCACTACTGCTCCTTGACCAGGAGTCATGAGTGCAGGAGGACCCCCAGATTGTGCACTGGGTTTGTTTGGGGCAGTGCAACCCTGTCCAAAACCATAGTTGGTAAGTTCTCGGATACAGAGGGGCCTCCAATCCACAGCCACTCCATCTTACCAGGGTTCAGCTGAAGCCTGTTGTTCCCCATCCAGACCCCCACAGCCTCCTGGCACTGTGAAAGGGTGGTTACGGCATCACTCAAGTCACCTGGGATGGAGATGTATAACTGGGTATCATCTGCCTATTGATGATACCTCACCCCATGGTGGCGGAGGATCTAACCCACTGGTTTCATGTAGATGTTAAAAAGGAGCAGAGAGAGTACCAAACCCTCTGGCATCCCAGAATGGAGGGGCCGTGGGCTGGATCTCTCACTCCCAATCTACATTGTTTGGGATCGACCTTGGAGGAAGGAAGAGAACCAGTGCAGAACTGTGCCGCCCACTCTCAACTCCCTAAGTCAACCCAAAGGGATACCATGGTTGATGGTATCAAAAGCCACTGAGAGGTCAAGAAAAGCAAGGATGGATGCACTACCCCCATCCCGCTCCTGCCAGAGATTACTCAGGAGTGCAACCAATGCCGTTTCCATCCAAATCCAGGCATGAAACTGCACTGGAAATCTGTTTCCTCCAGGATCCTCTGGAGCTGCAACGCCACCACCTTCTCAACCATCTTCCCTAAAAAAGGGAGGTGGGAAACTGGATGAAAATTGTCCAGTATGGTGGGATCCAGTGATGGCTTCTTGAGGAGGGGATGCATCAGCGCCTCTTTAAAGGCAGCTGGAAATACTCCCTCCCTCAAGGACAAATTCATCATCGCCTGGACCCACCCACGTCACCTCCTGAGTAGCCTTAACCAACCAGGAGGTACATGGATCTAGTTGGCAAGTGGTGGCACTGACCATTTGGAGGACCCTGTCCACTTCCTTGGGTTCAATAGGATCAAACTGTTCCCAGATAACAGGGTAAGTCCGTACCCTGGCCATCTCTATAGACCATGTTGCATGCTTGGTATCCAACTGGGACTGAATGTGAGTGATTTTATCCTCTAGACGCCCAGAAAACTCTTCTACATGGCCCTGTAAATGGACCACCCTTTCCCAAAAGGGGTTGGGTGATCTTAAACAGGGCTGCTAGGTGGCATTCTGCAGATGCAATAAGAGCAGAGAAATGTTCTTACCACTACAAGGTAGGCCTTAATTGCAGCTCTAGCTTGTGTTTGGTCGTGTTCAGTCCTCATTTTCCTTCAGCGGTGCTCTAGATGTCTCTTAATCCTTTTCAAGACCCTCAACTCTTCAATGAACCACAGGGAGTGTTGGGGTTGATGGGTTAGAAGAGGTCGCATGGGCACGATCTTGTCCAAGGCCCTGGCTGCTTTCCTATTCCAGGCAGAGGCCAAGGCCTCCCCGGACTGTGCAGCAGACCCTCAGGTATAACCCCCAGCTCCCTTTGGAACCCAATTGGGTCCATCAGTTGCTGTGGCTGGACCAGTTGAATAGATCCTGCCTCCCTGAGGAGGGGAGTAGTGTAGGAGAACCTCAGGGCCACCAGGGCATGATGTGACCATGACAAGGGGGACAGATGTAATTCCTCCTTCAGATCACATTGGCACTGCTCTGACAAGAAAACCAAGCCTGGTGTGAGGCCACTGTCCCGAGTTGGGTCACAAATAATCTGGGACAGGCCCATGGCTGCCATGGTGGCCATGAACTCCCAAGCTGACTCTGAGGCACACCTTAAGGATGGCAGGTTGAAGTCCTCAGGACCATAAGTCTGGGGAACTCCACCGCCAGCCCTGCGATGGCCTCCAACAGCTCAGGCAGGGAGGTTGCTATGCAGCAGGGAGGCTGAAACAGCGACAACAATCCCAACTGTTCTCATGAGTCCAACTTCAGGAACAGGGTCTCACAACTGGCCACTTGTGGAGTGGCGCCACTGAAGGCCAACAGAGATTCCTGGATGACAACTGCTACCCCTCCTCCCCTGCCCTGGGATCTCAGCTGGTGCCAGACTGTGAACCCAGCTGGGCACATTTCTGAAAGGGGCACCCCTCCTTCAGGGCCCAGCCAAGTCTCAGTGATATACACTGAGGTCGGCCTGCTCCTCAGGGATCAAATCACATATAACTTCTTGTTAACTGACCTGGCATTGAGAAGCAGCAGCTGAAAACCAGGTCCTCCATGGGTCTGCTGTCCAGGGCCTTGGTCTGAGTCCAGAGAGCCAGAACATGCCACCAGTAACAAACACTAGGGGTGCCTTCCCCGAGAGTGGCTCGCCCTCTGACTCCTGTCATAACATTCCCTCCCCATCATCACCTGGATGGTATAACCCACCCTAAACCCCCCAGCCACTCCAGTTCCCCCAAATCCCAAACCCCTGGCTTCCCTAGTTAGGGGAAGTTATGCCTTTACTATCGCTTTCTTCTCTCACAGATATTAAGCTTCTTTTCCCATCAGCTTCTCCTACTACAGAATCCTACTTATCATTGCTCTGGACTTATTAAAATCTGTTTTCCCTTGATCCAGGTAAAATTATAGCTGGTGCACCAACCAAAGATGCCTACAGGTCTTTCTTGCCAGTGATGCCATGTGTGTGTCTAATGGCAGTTTGCAAGGAAAGATAATCTTCAGTTTACACTCTTGTTTCTTTGGAGGGAGTTCTCCTTCGTTTAGCACTGGATTAGAAATTCTTAATTTCTGGGCCTGAGAACCACATATCCCCAGGATAATTTCTCCAGTTCTCTACCTATTTATGCAAAGAAGAATAATGTATATCTGTGTGAGTTGGTGGGTCCCCCCCCAATACATATTTATCACATTACACATATGATCCAAGAAAACAGATGCAATGAGTGGGATGTTGATTCAATATGAACATTTTCTAGGAAAAGATGAAGTTTCTCCAAAAAAGATAAAGGCAAAAGCAAAACATAAATAAAGCAAATAAAAGAAGGGGAAAAGGCATACATGTGGACCTGAAATAAATTTGCACATGACTGGAATGGTAATTTATTGCAATTTTGAAACATAATTTATCTATCAACCACTTTAGTCCATTGCTACTCTCTTGTTAGAAAAGTGAAAAATAACAAAGGAACAAGTAAACAAATGACAAAGAATCAAACTACAAAGAAGAAAAACATTATACTGATTGTAAAATAATTTAGTTTTCCTCACTGTATAAACCAGATAAGAGTTGGCTGCACATATAATATTCTGATGGATTTATTGCTCCCCCAGGTGGCAAAAAACTCTGTTTTTATACAAGAGGCAAGCAATGATCAACTTGCTGAAGTGTATCCATTTGAGACTATCTCTGCCTTAGCACAAACTGTCACCCTTGAGAAAAAGTCGTCTTCCATCAGTCAAAATCCATCATATGTCACTCATCAGCTAAAGGAGCTGATCTACCAAAAACATGTAAAGCTTTCAGCAATAGTCAACTATAATTGTTGTGCAATCAAGGATCAATTACCCAATCAATTTTAATTTAATTGTAGGAGATTTCAAACTGTCCCAAATTTTCTTTTCCTAGGGGAAAAAAACTCTGCACACCTGTCTAATGCCATTATTATTCAACAACAATCACCAAAATATGTTACAAGTAGTCCTTGTTTAGTGACTACAACTGAGACCAGCAACTTGGTCGTTAAGTGAAGTGACTGTTAAGTGAAACCGCATCTGTGCTTACGATCTTACTTCACTTTTCCTTTGCTTTACAGATCTGCGAAGGTCATAAATGCGAGAACTGGTTGCAAAGTTACTTTTTTATCACCGTTGTAACTGGTCGCTGTACAAGGTAGATGCTAAAAAAGGACCACCTGTATATAGGCAGTAACTGCAATTCCTCTTACCAACATGCCAATGTAAGCCATGTTAAATTTATTATTTAATTAAAATAAGCTATTCAGCCACCTGGAGCTCAAGGGATAATTTAGTGGCAAATGGAGCAAAAAAATCCAAATTCAATATTGGAATGGGATCCATAATCCAGAAAAATAGCACAAAAACAAACCAACTGAACTGAAGGTCTAACTGAGGAGATATATTTTGTGCCCTCTTTTGAGGATCAGTTAAAAAAAGAGAGAGAGGAAGAGTTACATACAAGGGGAAAGCTATTGTACATAAAAGGTATACCTAATTTCAATCAAGAATCTCTAGAATACAAGATCAGTTAGCCTCATTTCTCCTTTTCAAAAAGAATTCTCACAGTGGACTATGGAGAAGATACAGATCTATGCTTGTGACAAATTCTGTATACATTATTACAGGAGGAAAAGTGATTAGAGAGATTTATGTCCGTTAAATACTTCCTCCCCCCCCCCAAAAAAATCAGGAGATGTATCTTATTTACCTTTAATAACAGGGGGGATAGATTTAGTTGTACTGAAGGTAAATACTTCTGAGAAAGGTCCTTCCCCAGCACCATTTACAGCTTGTATTCTAAAAGTGTAGCAGGTATATTCCATCAGTCGCTGTACCTTGTAAGTATGACTTGGTCCCCTATAGATTGAAACAAACCTAAAAAGGAGAGAAGAACAAATTATTAATTTATTTTTACAATATCTTTCATTTGGTTGATGGGCTGATTGTGCATCACCAACAAAAAGGCTAATATAATTTAATCTAACACCAATTTAATGATATAGAAATCTCAATCTAGAAGCTCAGGTGCAAATACAAGCAGTCCCTGGATTAAGAACGTCCAACTTACGGACAACTCATACTTACGAATGGGCTGCCTATTACTTAAAATGGTGGACGGCTGACCAGCAACGTGATCTGACTCAAAATGGAGGATGGCATTCTCCTTCCTTGAGCTGACAATCTGCTGAAACTGTGCAATGCTTTCATGAGTATCCCAAAGTACTGCTTGCCTTTTTAACGTACAGCCTGTTTTCAGCAGTTCGTGAAAGCATGATTACTAATGATTTATATCTAATGCAACTTAAGATTCAAAATGTAGAATGGGGAGCGTCTACATATACAGTGTACCTTCAGAAGCCATACTTTTGGTCCTGTAATGTCATATAAAGTTAAGGGACTCTTATCTAAAGATCCCTTTATCTAACTTTATAGATAAAACTTTATCTAAAACCAAGATATTGTCTTTAGTACATCAGTGCCACCAAGGCACACGCAATGTGTTATGCTGAGGTAAAATGTAACAAAAGCCTGTACTGAGACGTGAAATGTTAGTGGCAGGCTCTTCCACTGGAGCCCCCAATGATGTCTTTCCCACAGAACTCTCCCCCATGGTTATTTAGGTGACAGATGAAGAGAGTTTTATTCACTCCATTTTAAGAATGGTTTGAGCCACACTTAAATTATTGCACTCTTGTTCTGTTGCAGTTGATTTTATGCACCGTAGTTTCTGTTCCTGTTGATTTTATTTTGATTTTATTAGAAGTTGTTTTTATTACTATTTTTGTTTTGAATTAGGTTCAGTTGGTTTGCATTTTATGCAGTATTTTAGCTTTTGGCTGTGAATGGTTAGAAAATAAGTAAGTGGGCTTGGTCCTGTGCACCTTTTTATGTGAGACATACACAGCCATTAACCCAGGTATTTACAACGTTCAAAATGTATTGAAATTGAATGATTTTTTCCATCTCCTAACCAGATCATTTCCTGAATGCCAGTGTTTGGACTTAGCAATCAAATGTCTCTGTCGCATAGGCAGTTGGTGAATTGAATTTCCTGCACTTCTATTTAGCAACAGCAGGAGCATACCATGGAGTCAATGAATATGAATGTTTCTCAGAATAAATCTGGAATTATTGTCATTTTTTAAAAATCTGGCATCAAGGAGTGTTATGCGAGGTACTGAAAATTATCGTTAACCGCAGCAAAAGTCAGTGAAAGAGTGAAGTGATAATGATTCTGGATGGAGATGTTATAGAATTCAGAAATGTTGTTAGAGATTGATGGGTGGCGGTAATGAGATGGTGGAAAGGAAGAAGAGAAGATTGAGAGTTGTGTTTGTTGGGAAGCCTTATGGCGAGAACCAGGACTGTGTAATGTGGAGGTGTTGTGTGGAGAATGATGATTGTGGAGGGTTTAAACTAGCTGGATCTGGTTGTGGATCTGAGTTCTCCCAGGACTTGAGAAATTATCTGGAGCCAATTGGAGGAGACTTCAACCTACTGTCACTGGGGCTGGATTGGGAAGAAGTCGTGCTAATTTCTAATTGCCTGTTGCAAGCAGTGACGGGGTTCTCATTTAAAAGCCAAATCACTAGAGGAAAGTTTTCATCCTTTAATTTTATTATCATTCTTTTACCTTACCAAAATATTTCTTTAAAATATAGGTGCTGTTGACAGTCCTGTGCCTGATGTTAAATGGGAAGTCTCCTTCTCTGGGATATAAATTAGTAAATGCTACTAAGCAGCTAAGATATCTTATCCCACAAATGTTAATAAGTCATGGAGAGTTCATTTTATCAACTGGATGCACCAAAAAGAAGAAAATCACAATACTATTTCGTGCTGAATTCTAGGAACTAGAAAAATGGGCACCCTGGATTTGCTACTGATGTTCCAGATGACAAGGTTTCTGTGCTGTATTTTGGGATTTAAGGTATGTTATTCTTTAAAGAGTGGATATTTTACCTGGTTTTTACTGTGACATTGTTTTTATTTTAATTGCTTTAAATGGTTGTATCTCTATTTTGGGACACTTGAAAGTTAAAAAAAAAAAAAAAATTATATATATGTGCATAAATGTTTCCAGTATTGTAATAGTTAGATTCCCTAATCTTTGTCATGCTTTAAGATCTCGGCCAACAAATCATATTTTTCCTCATAAAATACATTCATATGAATAAAAGAAATTTCCATAAGTAGATGTTTCCCACAGCAAGATTTCCACATACAGAAATGCACTTTTGGCTTCTCCTTATTATGTTCTAATCGTGTGTTTTCAGTTTGTTTTCATCATTGCTTTCATTCATTTAGCTGTTTCAAGAAGATTCATTTAACTTGCCAGGTACACAGAACGACTCTGATCTTCATTCCAAAGACTTGCTTGGTGCTTTCAAAAGCATCTGTTTGATCACTGCTGAAAATATGATGCTAGCCTCTGGCTTAGCAATCTGTTGCAGCAAGTCTGTTCCAGCCAGTTAATACTTATGACTGTAATGTCAACTCCTTGATACAGTGGGAAAGCTTTGTAGGTTTCATGACTCTGAGAGCAATGCTAGTAGAAGATGGAGCTCATGGTGGGGCCACCCTCTGTCAACCCTATGAGGTAGACAGATCAGGAAATAGACCCCACAGGAAAATTAGAACTACAGGTAGTCCTTGCTTAATAACTGTTTAGCGACCGTCCAAAGTTATGATGGCACTAAAAATTGACTTATGACTGGTGCCCAAAGTTACGACCGTCACAATGCCCCCATGGTCACATGATCACGATCTGGGCACTTGGCAACCAGCTTGCACTTACAACGGTTGCAGCATCCTGGGGTCACATGATTGCCATTTGTGACCTTCCCAGCCGGTGTCCAGCAAGCAAAATCAATGGGGAACTGCGTGATTCGCTTAACGAACACTGCAAAAAAGGTCGTAAAATTGGGTCCACATGATTTGCTTAACAACCGCACTGCTTAGTGACCTAAATTCCAGTCCTATTTGTGGTTGTTAAGCAAGGACTACCTGTATACTTTATTGAGACAGACTATATAGCATAATTTTGCAAGCTTTATTGGGTTTTACCTCCCCTCCCTCTTTGGAAAACACTACTGCATTTTTGCCAAGAAAACTGTATGGATGTTTAGCCTTCCAAATAAGATTCAAAGCATGGATAGTCTATGGAGGACACAGACTGTAAGATCAATGTAAGGAAGAACTTTAGTATATTTAGTATAGTATATATATGATGAGAACCTGAGAAGCTATGGGAAGAGACAGGAATCATTGTTAAAATTTGAAAAAAAAAGTTCCCAAAATTCAAAGAGGAAAAACGTATCTGGCAACAAGAAGGATGTATGACAGCTGGACAGAGATTCCAATGTTGAGCATGAAAGGATAAGGGAAATTGCACTAATTGAGAATATCAATAAATGGAGTAAACAAAATAGAGAGCCAGTTTGGTTTAGTGGTAAGGCATCAGGCTAGAAACCAGGAGACTGGGCTCTAGTCCTGTCTCAGGCATGAAAGCCGGCTGGGTGACTTTGGGCCAGACTCTCTCTCTCAGCCCAACTCACCTCACAGGGTTGTTGTGGGGAAAATAGGAGGATGAAAGAGTATTAGGTATGTTCGCCGCCTTGAGTTATTTATAAAAATAAGAATGGCGGAATAAAAAAAATCTAAAACAAAAGAAAAGAAAAAATGGCACATTTTAAGATGATCAAACAGATCACAGGAAAATTTACAATTAAAGTAGAATTATTTAAGAGATTTCTTAAAAGCAAATAATGTCAACACTTTTATTTTTAATTCTACCCACTTAGCTGGAGGCTCCTTTCTTCACTCATTTCCAAACAACTTTTCACTTCCATTAAAACCACTCTGCATTATCTCTGCCTCTTTTTATCACAACAGTCTTGTTCTCTTGGACTACATTCTTTGCAACTGTATTTTTCTCTCTATAGCGTATAATATAGCATTTCTTTCGAACTCATTCTTTTGCAGCAATCATTTTCTTACGTGCATTTTTTAAAAATCCCCAGCCCTTTCATTTTACTATTCCACCAAGCATCATTTTTCATTCTTCCCACTAGGTACCTATGTAATCTTTTTATGGCACTCAGAAGATACTTTTCACTTCCAGGAAACTTTCGTATCCTCCTTCCTTATGTATACTTTCCATTCATTCTGTTGGGAAATTAATCTACTTTCCCATACTTTTCATTCACATTCTCATTTCTTTTCCTTTTTTCCTAAGTTCCATTCTTGATGTTACTCCAAAAATGGTCTTTCCACATTCAGAACCCCTCATAACCTCCACTAATGCTCTCACTATTTCAGCACAAAAAATGAACTTAGTCCATGTTTTCAGATTTCTATTCACTCCTTTGCCATGTGTACATATGAGTAGACAGGGTTATATATTCAAAAATAAACAGTTCTTTTCTCAGCAGATAATCACCAGTCACAAACCTAATTTATTCTAAATGGCCCAATTACTTTTTTTGTACTTCCTCCTCTCATTCTTGCCTATGCTTTCATGTCACCTAGCAGAATAACTTTTTAAATTGTTTTCATTCAGAATGTCATATAATGTTTCTCAAAACTCATCTTTGGTTCTTCCATTCACTATTCACTGAAGTGTTAACATTCATCTAACAATGGATATCTACTTTTATATCCACCCACAAAAATGTTCATTCACAGACTCAGCATACTGAAACAGTTAAGGTGCTGGACTTGGACCAGGTTTAAGTTGCCATTCAAGCAGAAATTTTATTGGGTCATTTTGGGCCAGCCATTCACTCTTGGTTCAAACAATTATGGTGTTCTTTTCAGGAGAATAAAAGCAGAAAACCATACATAAGCAGCTTGAGCTCTCAGATAAAATACAA